ACCTTCCACTGAAATCTCTTGTCTGGTTCCATATGATTAAGAGAAGGGATAGTGAAGGCAAACCTTGGTCTATCCCGTGGGTAAAGTGGAATAGAGAAGAAACAATCCTTAATATCTATAATAATAAGCTTCCAATCTTGAGGAAGTGCAGAAAGCAAAGGAAGTCCTCTTTGAACAGGGCCAAAAAGATGCATCTGATTGTTAATGGCCCGCAGGTCATGGAGTAATCTCCACTTCCCAGATTTCTTCTTAATAACAAAAATTGGTGTATTCCATGGGGAGGTAGAAGGCTCTAGATGCCCCAGCCGTTCCTGTTCTTGCACTAATCTTGTGACAGCCTCTAATTTTTCAGAGGATAGAGGCCATTGAGAGACCCATAACGGCTCCTCTGTTTTCCACGGTATGGGTCGTGAAGCCTCAACGGCCCCTAAATAAAACCCAGTCCTTTTCTACCCCGATTTCCATGTTGCGTAATGGGTTTTATTCTGCCTTGTTCTTGCCTACCCAAGCCTCTACCCTTTGTATACCCCATCTTTGCCATAATGGCTGATGCCTGGGGGGAGTATTCATTAGTTAGGGTCATGCCCATGGTTTGTAACACATCCCGTCCCCATAAATTTACAGGGAGTGGCAACACATAGGGGGTAAAACATCCCTGTTTGCCCTCAGCGTTCCGCCAGGTTAAGGCTGAGGCACTGATGGCAGGAGAGGACTGGTATCCAAGACCTTGTAGAGAATGAGATGAAACAACAGTGGGCCAAGACTTCGGCCACCAATGGAGTGAAATAATGCTTTTGTCTGCTCCCGTATCCATTATCCCTTCAAATTCTTTTCCATTAATTAACAATTTTATTGTAGGTCTCTCATTTAGGGGTATAGCCAGATAGGCTGAATCACTTCCAGAAGATCCCATAGCCCTTTTTTGTAAAGTGTAGGTTTCTCCATCCCCGAGGGAGGGCAGCAACACCAGTTGTGCAATTCTATCTCCCTGCTTTATAGAAAATACACCCCGAGGGCTAGAACAGAGAACTTGAATCTCCTCTTTATGATACGGGTCAACAATCCCAGGATATATAATGAGTCCCTGTAAAGTTAAGGAGCCACGGCCCAGAATAAGCCCAATGGTGGCAGGGGGCAAAGGTCCAGGGGAATGGACTGGGACCGGTTGAACATTCATTTGGGGCATGAGTAAGAAGTCGGAGGCGGCACGCAAGTCCATTCCGGGGGTTCCTCGGAAGCCTCTACTTCCTCTTGATTGCTTTTCTGAAATCGGTTCCCATATTTCTGAGGGCCCTGGGACCATGGGCCCCGTGACCCGTTTTTTGATTGGGGTACCTTGGGTTCTTCAATAGGGGGCAGAAGCCTCCCTTTCATATCCCGGACTGACCTGCATTCACTAGCCCTATGATAACCTTTACCACAACGACGGCAAAGCTCCAGTTCTCTTGTTCTTTCAGGGGCTTGACAATCTTTCTTAAGGTGCCCCATTTTCCCACAATTAAAACAAGCTTTTCGACTAGATAAATCTCTACGCCTGTGCGTTTGTAAAATGGCGGCAGCTAGTCCTGCATTGGTTAGGGGACCCCCAGCTCCCTGCACACTCTGAGCCAATCTTGTAAACCTTTGCTTTTGCGAGGGGCGATAGCCGCTCGACATTCCTGGGTTGCTTGTTCATAGACAAGTTGCTCAATTAGGGGCATAGCTTGTTCTGAATCACCAAAGATGCGACCGGCGGCCTCGGTCATTCTGGCCACAAAGTCTGAAAATGGCTCTTGGGGTCCTTGGACAATCTTTGTAAGGTGTCCACTGGATTCTCCCCCTTTTTGTGAGGGCCTTCCATGCTTTAATAGCGGCGGCCGACACCTGACCATAGACGCCCCAGATGTAGTTGGTTTGATTAAGGGCATGTTGACCCTGACCTGTCAGCATTTCAAATGTCCACTGCCTCTGATTCTCATCTTCAGCTGTGGCATTAACTCTAGCTTGCACCTGGGCTGCATCATACCAGAGAGCCTTCCATTCCATGTATTGTCCCATATTGGGAAGCACTGCTTTCACTGTCGTCTGCCAGTCAGTGGGAGTCATGGAAAAATTAGCAAGCCTTTCCACCTGTATTGTGGTAAAGTTAGCATTGACCCCATAATTACGAACGGATTCGGCCAATTCTTTGATTTGATTGTAAATTGTAATCTACGGGGGTATGTACTCTTCCGCCTTCCGCATTCTTGAATACTGGAAAAGCCATTTGTATTTTTCTCCGTTCCTCTAAAGGTAAAAAGGAGTCAGTACCAGTATTCAGCTGAAGCTCATACTGCGGAGGCGCCGAGGGGCGTGAGCCCGCCGGATTTATAGGCGGTGGCCTCACATTCATTTTTGTTTTCAGCGGCCGGTGTCTATCAGGGTGATATCTTTCTTCCTCATACTGTGCCACCTCCTCCTCTAGACCACCTTCTTCACTAGAATCCAGAGTGTCAGAATCGGAATTATCTAGCTCCAAGGCTTCTAGCTCTACCGTAGGGTATAGGCTAGATTCTGGCTTTTTCTTTTTCTTAGATTTGTTAGGGGGTGAATGATCACTCCCTTCTTTCTCTCCCCCCTTTCTTAACTTCTTGGGGAGGGCCTTTTTTCTTAGACATGTCTTTCCTTTTGCGAGCTCCCATTCTCTCACTCCGTTCAGTTTCTGACATGCTATCCTGAACTTCCTCTAAGGTTCCCTGACTTTCTACTATAGCAGGGTGACAGGCCTCATCCTCCAAGCAGTTTTTAACTAGCTTCCAAATGGCTTTGGTACCTAAGCGGAGATCTCCTTCTGCATGCTTCCTGTCTAGTTCTTTACCTAGCTTGTTCCATGAGGCCACAGTGAGGGATCCGGAACAAGCATACCATGGTGCCACTCTATCTACCTCCTTCACAAAATTTGGAAGTGTTCGTGGTGCAATTTTGAGATCTCTTTGTTTTAGCACAGTCTGTAGGGCAGTAACCACTGACTGTGACAATCCCATCGTGCTAGCGGCTTATCTAAAAAAACGGCGCTCGACTCCTTTACCAGACTGACAGCACCGTTCTGTCAGCACCAGCCACGATGAAGAAGAAGGACAAACAGGACTAGCACCAAAGCCTCCACTGACCCGTCCCACGGTGATGACAAACTAAGGCCAAAGTCGAGAAAAGGGGTGTTCAGGATCAAGCATACCTCTCTGAACTTACATCCCTGCAGTTCTGAATCCGCCCCGTCTTCCGAGGGGTCTCCCGCGCCGCCGGCGAAGTTGAAGAGTTTCCGGGTTTCGGCACCAGATGTCCCGCGCTACCGTCTCGCCAGCAAGAACGACGCAGGGCACTCGGATCCTTCTGCAGTAAAGCTTTGATACATCTTGAGAGATAGATGATCAGCTTCTGAAAGGGAGACCCCAAGCTAAGAAACCCAGCCCCTTATATAAGCCTAGGAGCTCCGAGTGAGACGTGTAGAGCCGGGATTGGTGGTTTGCTCATCACCCCAGATGACGGGTGAGGCACAGCTTAAACGGTAAACTCCAACTGACAGCAGATGTCAGCGCCATCTTCTAATGGCGATAGGGATAGCGAGGGCGGCTCCTCACAGAGGGATGGCTCAGTGATTAAGAGCACTGGCTGTTCTTCCAGAGGATCTGGGTTCAATTTCCAGTACCCATGTGGCAACTCACAATCAACTCCAATTACAAATGATCTGATATACTTTTGACCTCCTTGGGCACCTGGAATGCACATAGTATACAGATATACATGCAGGCAAAATATATAATTTTTTAAAATCCAAAATAATGGATTTCCACAAACTAAGCACTTAATGGATTTCCACAAACTAAGCGATGTGTAACCAGAGAGTTTATTCCAGCTTATACCTGGCTTCTGTACCTACTTCTGATCTGATGTGGGGGGGAAAATGTTATCCTTTCTGTAAGAAGTGGTTTCATGGGTGAAGTAAGGAGTTTGATAAATAAGACTCTAGGCCTCTCTCTGCCACTTTCCCCTTTCACTCCTAATGGTTCATGCCTGGCTGATGAATTTGGGAATACCCAAATCCGTTGCTCACCTTTCCCGTCTCTACGACAAAGATGCCCAATCAAAGGGGTCTTATTTTGGGTGACAGTCCATCATGGTCTTGAAGGTGCGGTGTCAAGAGCATGAGGCGGCTGGTCATACTGTGTCAGGAGCAGAGAGAGACAAGTGCTAGTCCCCGCCACACTTTCTCTTCTGCATTTGGCTCAGGACCCCGCCCTATTGATGACAGTATTGTCCACATTTAGGGCATGCCTTCCCCCTTCAGTTAATTCTTTCTGAAAATTCCATTACTGATACACCCAGGAGTGTGGATTCACATCACTATAAACGTAGTCACACCGACAGTGAAGATTGACCTGTCACTGGGCATCCTTGATTACTCATCTCCCTCCTCCCTTGAGAGAAAGCCTCACAATGGGCTGGTTCTGCCCCTAAGGTCTTCCCAGGTCCTGCATTTTCTGTGACAAGGTGAAGTACCTCTGCCTAATTTTGGGACTCACTGTCTATCACAGCCCTCCAATCTTCTTCATAACTGATAGACACCATAGTTTAACCTTCATTTTTATTGAAGTAAAAGTAACACAAATTTTACTGTCTTAACAGTTTTGTTGAAAGTATACCCCCAAAAAGAAAGTACACAATTCAGTCATTTTTATTTATTTTTGTGTATAACTACCATCACCATATACATCCAGAACATTTTTATCATTGTCCCCCCCCCAAACCCACACCCACTGTGGTGGTTTGAAAGAAAATGGCCCCCGAAGGAAATGGAACTATTAGATGTAGCTTTGTTGGGGTAGGTGTAGCCTTACAGGAAGAAGTATGTCACTGTGGAGGTGGGCTTTGCTCAAGCTACGTTCAGTGTGGCAAACAGTTCACTTCCTGTTGCCTTTGTATCAAGATGTAGGACTCTCAGCTCCTTTTCCAGCACCGTGTCTGCCTGCATGCCACCATGTTCCGCTGTGATGACAATGGACTGAACCTCTGAAACTGTAAGCCAGCCCCAATTAAATGTTTTTCCTTTACAAGAGTTGCTTTTATCATGGCATTTCTTCACAGCAATTGAAACCCCCTTAAGCATTCACCCCTAGAGCCTCTCCACCCATGGCTGCTGGTGCCTGCTTATTTGTGTTCTGTCGCTATAGACTTGCCTAGCAGGACATTCACATAAACAGACTAAATGCACAAGCCTGTGTGACTAGAGTCTCTCACTTACTGAGACTCTCTAACGACTAGTGATGTGCTGGACAAGCTCTGGACCCCTGAGACGTACTCCCAGGCCCTATTTGAACTAATTTTTGCATATGGTGTGAGATTGGTGCCTGTCTTAACCTGTTTTGTGTTGCTAATGACACGATATCGCCGACCAGATGAATTATATAGGGGTTTATCTTGGCTCACAGTTCTGGCCCACGATGAAGGAGCCAAACCTCCCCATGGCCTTCTTGCTGGCAGAGTCCTGAGTCAGCTCAGGGCATCCCATGATAGGAAGTACGCATGTCTAGGTCTGTTTTCTGGTCTTTTTACAAAGCCACCAAGATTCAGTCATTGGGGTGTGTGGGGATGCCTCACCCTAAAGGTCTTAACTAATCATAAACACACTTCAGATGCCCACTTCTTTACAATGTAGTAAGATTAAGTTTCCACCCTCAGAAGGCCTCACAATTGGAGGAACTCCAGCCTGCGCTGCAGTGACGGCAAATCAAGCTCAGGCCCTACTAGGGCTCAGCTTCATATTTGTAGGGACTTCATTGAGTCAACACATGTTGTTGAAGATGATTCTTTCCCTCCTAAATGGTCTTGTCACCGTTTCCTCGGATGGAACGACCACAGAACTTGGTTTGTTTCTGGTCACTGGCGTTTGCTTGGCACCGTCCTGATCACCACAGCCTAGCTCAAACCTCAATCAGGAAGGTTGCACTCTCTAACTCTGTCCTTTTACAAAACTGTTCTGTGTGGAGGGCACTGCAAGTCTGTATGGATTTTAGGATCAGCTTTGCCATTTCTGTAGAAAAGGCTGTTAAGGTTTTCCTGCTTGGGCTCTATCTGTCAATCACATTGGTGAGCCTGGCCACTGAGTTCAGTGAAATCAAGTCTTGCACCCTGCGGGAGCTAAACACCTTTTAGACTCAGGTCTTTGTGTCAGCACTGTTTATTAGGATCAAAGCTAGGTATTTTGTTCTTCCTGGTGTGGTTATAAATGCAGCTGTAAACTTCAGTTTTGATTTATCCACTCCGAAAGTGGAGGAGCACATCTGGTTTCTGGATGTTTTCAGTGTCCATTTCAAGTTCTTGTTTGTTTGTCAGAATACCCAAAAAGAAAATGAGGTGCTGTTTATTGGGCTCTTAGAGAAACTACGTGTGTGTGTGCGCGCGCGCGCGCGCGCGCGTTCAGTGGGTGAGGCTGTGGCATGAAAGAAACCAGACAGGAAGCACTGCACAGTGATGGGGGGTGGGGCAAGAATAGAACATTAGAGGACGCCAGCGATTAGCAAGAAAGGCAACTGACCATGCAGATCAGAGTAGCAGGAACTATTTACTGGCCCACTGTACTGGGAAATTTCTGTTCTTTGGCCTTGTTCATTTTACTTAGGTGAGTTTGGACACTTGCCTGGTATGCATGAGGCTTTGGGTTCTAGCCCCAGTACCATAGAGAGAAATCTTCACCAAAGTCAAAAAAAGTTAAGATGTGACCAGCTCCACCATCTCACATATAAGCTGCTGCCCGACATTTGACAAAAACAGTTCACTTGGGTTTCCCAGAAACTTGTGCATGGTAAGCAAGGGAGCAGCAAGCATTGTACCACTGAACCACAGCCCCATCCCCTCCCACTGCCCGACCATGTGGACCTTCTGCGTATATAAAATGTCTCAAGGTTGAAAGCTGGGTGTCTATGAAGTAGAAACCATGGCTTAGAGCAACACTCCCAGGTAAACCCTTAACTAGCCTTCAAAGAGATAAGCCCTGATGCCTTAGCATTTGTTCATTTCTGTGGAGCAAATGTGTCCTCATGACTGATTCCAGGTTTCCAAAATGCCTTCATTGAGTAGGTGTAGAGCTAACACATGCACACTGGTCCATCACAGCCAGAGTTTCTACCAAGCGGATGAAAATGACCTTAGCATCATAGATCATAGTGGTGAATTTAAAGTATTTATTACCTCATTTTAAATATATTTCCTTTAATGTAAAGTTTATATAGCTTGGATTTTTCTTAGATGTATTTTGATGTATGTATGCTGTCTGCATGTATGGACATGTGGACATATGCTCTCAGAGGTCAGATGAGGGTATCGGTCAGATATTTTGGAACTGGAGTTACCCAACATGAGTGCTGAGAACAAAACTCCTGTCCTCTGCAATAGCAATGAACACTCTTTGTGTGTGTGTGTGTGTGTTTTGTTTTTGTTTTGTTTTGTTTTGTTTTTCTCTGTGTCTTTGGAGGCTGTCCTGGAACTCGCTCTATAGACCAGGCTGGCCTCGAATTCACAGAGATCCCCCTGCCTCTGCCTCCCGAGTGCTGGGATTAAAAGAGTGCGCTACCAACGCCAGGCAGCAGCGAACACTCTTAACAATTGAGCCATCCAGCTCCCTGTCCCTTATCGCTTGATTTTTAATCACTGATATGTTTAATAACTAACCTGATGATTTCTGGAAGTTTACCATTCCTCATGAAGCAGCCCAGGCCAGTGGCAGACTGGGAGCTGGGTTGTGACAAAGGAAGAGGCTGAGCAATGAGACGGGTAGACCTCTCTCAGATGTCCTGTGTGAGAACTCAGTCAAGCCAGTAGAATGTACTGACAGTCATCTCTCCAGGTGTTTATGAAGACCAGAGAGAAGGGCACAGAATCTCATGCAGGATCGGTGACCAAAAACGCTGGTTTACAGATACTGCCTTGCCACTGTGGCGGGACCACTGTTAACTTCAGGGGCTAGTAAGATGTCTTGGCAGGAAAAAGTACTTGTGTTTGGTCCCTGGAATCCATGCGATGGATGGAAAGAACCCCTAAACACACACGCACACACACACACACTTTTTTTAAAAAAGAAAAAAGTTAACATATAAAAGTTGGCACAAGACTGGGAACCCCTCCTCCTCTGAACTGCACACAACAAGCACAGTGTACATGACAAACACACACACAGTGTACAATACACACACACATACTCACACTCACACACAGGAGAGGCGGGTCCTATGCAAATGACCTAATGGAGGATCAAGAGCCTGCTCAGGGAGGAGGGTCTCGTGGAGCACAGTTTGGTGCTCACTAACCCACTCCCACTCTCCGGGTTGCTTTGCGTTTCTGGATCAACCGTTTCTCTTTATGCTGCCTTTCCTAGTGTGTCCGGTACAACGTTTTGTCATGGAACAGAAGAACCTGGAATCTTTCGAGTCATGGGTCCTCACCCCACCCCCAGTCTGCCTAAAGCACCATAGCTTTAATCAGGACTTCAGTCTTTCTGTGTTGAGACAGGAGCGGGCGATTGGGAGTTATCCAATGTCCAGCAGGTATGGCATTGGTTTGAGGACAATATGCAAATAAGTTTCGCATGTATACTTTGCATGGGCAGAACCCTGGAAGCCTCACTCCTCGGGCTGTGGAAGGAGGAGCAGAGACACCCTACAACCTTAGAAACAGGGAAATCAGCCTGGTTTAGTGTAACCTCCTTCCTGGCTTGGAAATTTGGCGATTTGACCGTTAAATGTCAGCTGTGCTACCTAAAGGGAGTAAGAGGATTTCCTGAGAGAGCTGTGCATGAATCAACTCACCAGGCAGCCTCTGGGGCAGGGTGCTGTCTGCAGAAAGAACATTTCGTGGTACAGAGGGAAGAGGGCCTGGCCAAGAGTCTGCTGTGACATAGGGGGTTGGCAGACATCCGGGAGACGGAAGGGGCGGGGAAGAGTGACCCCTGTTCTACCCCAGTCCTCAGAGCTGTGTAGCCTCTGATTTCACACCATTTTGTGAGAAAGATCACATCCTCTTGACCGTTCTGTGTCCTCCACCACAAAACGCCAGGGATGTGGTGAACCAGGAAGTAAATGCACCGGTGCTTGGCACCCGATCCAGCCTCAACTGGTCTGTCGACATCTTCAGCCCCCTTGGAGAGGCCTATGGAAAGATGAGTCAGGCAACATAATCCTTTTGCCCTGGGGAGCCCAGGTGTCGTACCCTCCCCCTCCCCGTGGACTGGTCACTTATGAAACACCAGTTACCTCCTGCCAATCATGTTTTAGACACAGACAGTTCAGTATGCTCACAACTTTTGTGGTGCAGGCTCATATTCACAGAGGGGTTGCTAAGAGTGTGTTGGAAACCTGGCTTGGAACTTAACTGGGGAGGGGGGTACCTGAACAAGTCACCTGGCTTCTGTTTCTGTGAGTCAGAGATTATGGTATCTATCATGCAAGATTGTTGTGGGGGAGAATCATACAGGAAAAGCATTGCCTAATACTAGGTAGCATGGTAGCTTAATTATTTAATAGTTGAGTAACTGCGGGTGACCTCGGGCAATCGATTTACTCTCTCTGGGTCTCAGTTTCCCCCTTTGTGTATGTTGGGCGGGATAATCTTGGAGGCATTTGGTTCTCCCACTCCAGTTTTTCTATGACAAATAAGAGTCTTTGCCTCCTTCTGGCCCTGCCTGTCTACATAGAGATTAGGCCATTTGCTTTTGCAATGCTCAGATAGCAAAGACCTTTGACAGCCGAGAAGGCTCAGTTACTCCCTCCCCTCGAACTGAGTTCCAAAGCTGTGGGACAAGGGGCACAGGATTAGAAAAGGAGGCTGTGTACTGGCTGGTAAGACCGGGATGTGGTAAAAACTGCCTGGGGAGAAAGAAGAGATCCAAGGTGAGGACTATGCTTCCTGGAATCCAAGCCCCAAACAGAGAGGACTGGGAGCATGAGGCAGACCCCCGCTTTCAGAAGATATTTCTTTTTCTTCTGAACTTTGGTTGCATGAAGCAAATGCCTCTTTTTAAAAAGGAAGGGGCCCTATAAATGGTTATTCTAATGTAAGATATGGAGATGGGCGATTCAAGATGGTACAGAGATTGAAGCCTCTGGGAATAACTCTTCATGTTGTCCTGATGTCCCTGATTCAGTAACGGTATATAAGCCAAATATCATACTTATAATACACTAGACTTTAGTCAAAAGCCTGAGGAGATTCTCTCTGACCTGGGTCCTGGAGCAGATAGAAAACACGTGAGACTGATTAAATGCCAGAAACTTCTCTTCTCTTCTCTTCTCTTCTCTTCTCTTCTCTTCTCTTCTCTTCTCTTCTCTTCTCTTCTCTTCTCTTCTCTTCTCTTCCCTTCTCTTCTCTTCTCTTCCCTTCCCTTCCCTTCCCTTCACTCCCCCTCCCCTCCCCTCCCCTCCTCTTTTCTCCCCTCTTCTCTTTTCTTTGTGAGGCAGGGTCTTACTATGTAGCCCTGGCTGTCCTGGAAGACACTATACAGACTGGTTAACCTTGAACTCACAGAGATCCGCCTGCCTGTGCCTCACAAGTACTGGGATTAATGGTGTGAACCACCATATGTGGTTCCATAGAATCTTAGGTCAATGCATCTATATATATATATATTTAACGGAAAAGTTGGGATTCTATATAGGGCTCATTTTCTACAATGTGTGACTTTTTTTGGTGTTTGACTTATTTGGGCGCACTTCCAATTTCCCACAGTAATTTTTTTTTTAATGTCAGTTGAGGAACTACTTTGCAGTTGGGAGAACACATTGCTCATTAAGAAGAGTCTAAGACCCCAGGCTTTTGAATATCAATCCCTGAGGTTTGGGTCCCTTTCCCAGTTGGAATGTCTCTGCTAAATGACAAACTGCCTGGCATTTTCCCCAATCCAGCTTGCCCCGTGATAAATGCTCGAGATTACATTTCCTTGTTGGTGTGTGCAAGAAATTCTACGCCTCCCCTTCAGCACAATGGCAGCAAGCTTTCCTGCCTTTCTGTGTTTGTTGTTGCTGGCTTAAGAGAAAGAAGAGAAATTCTCAGCTTCAAAGGCTGTCAGCTAGAAACAAGAATGTGAAAAAAAGGAAGGCTGAAAGAATGGAAATCCCTGGGCCTGGCATAGGAAAGGCTGGTTTGGTCTGGAAGGGGGGGGGCGTAGTTCTGCTGGTAAGATGCCTCCTGTGGAAACATGGGGACCCCATGTTTGATCCACAGAACCTAAGGAAAGCAGGATTACAGGCTGCCTGTAATCCCAAGTACTAGGGAGGCAGAGGCATGTGGGTCTTGGGTATGTGCTGGCCAGCAACCTACACCCAAGTGCCCAGCACCCAGCCACTAAGAGACCCTTTCTTCAAAACAGGGTAGATGGACTCGCAGCACTCTGGAGGCAGAGGCAGGTGGAACCCTGTTCATTGAGGCCAGCCTGGTTTGCACAACAAGGTCCAGGCCAGGTAAGACTGCATGTGAAACCCCACCACGAACAAGAAAACCAGGGTACATGGTTCCTGAAGAACAACACTCAAGGATGACCTATGACTCCGTATGCACCTACACACAACACACACACACACACACACACACACACACACACACACGGAGCTCCCTCAGTTATTGCCCCACATGACAGCTCATATACTCAGCAATGAGCAAGCCCACTTCTTTAATTTATTTTTAAGAGAAAAGAAGGAACTTAATATTTTAGGGATAAGAACTTATTATTCCCTCTTCTTCAGAGTAGGAAAAAAAAAAGAAACGTGGTTTAACTGAAACAGTGCTGGGTGTGGTGGCTCATGCCTGTAAGCCCAGCACTTGGAGGCTAAGTTAGGAGGATTGCTTCACATTGAAAGCCAGTGCATTCTTTTAGGTGATAAGCTTCAGGCCTACATAGTGAGGACCCCATATCAACACAAAATCAATAAAAGAGAAGAAAAGGAGATTTTTAAGCAGTGTGAGAGTGAGCTTGTGACCAGTCAATCATACTTGGGAAGCAGAAAGGGGAACAGTAGCCGTTCCGCAGATGAAGGGATGGAGTCGGGGAACTCTGCAGTTCTCTTCCATTGCCTACTCCTAGTCTGCCCCAGGAAGGCCAGAGATGGCAACGAGCACTCTTTTCTGGAGTCTGGTGTGGGCCCGTGGTCAACCCGATCATGAGGGCACACCTGGTTTGTGGTCTACATGACCAACAGTCCGATGCTGAGGAGTCCCTGGCTGCTTAGTATCTCCAACCCTCGGCAACACTGCCCACAGACTCCTGACTCTGAGTTTCTAGAGAGAAGAAAGTTCAACCCCTGGGGACATTCCTTAGCCTCTGGTAATACAGAAGCTGTGAAAGCTGAAGGCACTGGGGAGAGTGGGCTGGGCCTACCAGGAGGCTACTTGTCATTTGGAGAGTCTGACAGGCCTTTTCCTTAAGAAGAAAGTCAGTAGGCCTCTTCAAGCGTCTGCATCCTTCTCTGTGGAAAGAAGCTGTCAGCTCCTCCCTCTTAGGTCTGCTGAGGGGGAGATTGCACACGTGCAGCATAGAGCCTGCCACCTAGCACGTTGGAGATAAATTGTGTCCGTTTTTATGAGTCCCATCTTAACACCGAAAGCCCCAGAGAAACATAACAACCCAGAGAACCAACGCTGAAAACCCTGTGAGAGGCCCCTTTGGTGTAGACTTTCAACAAAAGATGGCTTTGTGTGACCCTTTCCTCCTCCTGGGAAAAAGTCGGAGCAAAGGTACAGTTCTGAAATTGCAGCCCACACCATCAGAAAGGATGACTAGTGAACAGATCACCTGGGTTGGATCTTTGACCACCCACCTCCGTAGTGTGGGGATCAAATGCTTACAGTCCAGCCCAGATATTGGCTCTTCTGGTGCCAGAGAAGTCTGGTTTTGGGCTGAGTGATTTAAGACAATATGTACGTCGATGCTGAGTGTGTGTGTGTGTGTGTGTGTGTGTGTGTGTGTGTGTGTGTGTGTGTGTGTGTAGGGGGGTGGCTTACTGAGCAGAGTGGAAATTTTCTATTCTTACCTTGGTTCCCTGGCTAGTATGTTTGAATGAACAAAAGAGATAGAATAAGGCAGGCCAGAATCAGGCATTGAACAGCCATGGGACCAAGAATCAGAGTGGAATTAAAATCTTGATCATTTGGGGTTCCAAAGTTAGGGAAATCATGACTGATATACCCTTCCTCCTTCCAGATAAAGACCCGGTTGGGTCATGAAGGCATATTCTTGCCTGTATCCCCAGCTGATGAATCCAGCTCTCCTAGCTCCTATTAATCCCTCTTTCTACACCAAGGGACTAGCAAGCGGAGAAGAGTCCAGCAGAGAGAAAAAGAAAAAGTCATTTCTATCCAAGTCTCAAGAGCTGCGATTGGCTTAGCTAGTCCTGGGGTGATTTGTGAAATGAAAGGAAACCTGACTCCAAGAACTGCTGCCAGGAGAAGCCTTGGGGATGGAGGCCAAGCACTCAAACAAGAGGTTGAGGTTGAGCAATAGATGGCAGAACTCCAGGCTCCGGAAGGGGCCAGATGCACCTGCCTAGGCACTGAAGCATGACGGGACTCGGGAAGGCCCCACCTAACCAGAGAGGAGTGGGAGGAAGGCAAAGCAAGTGGCCTGACTGGAGAAGTTGGCCATGATCTAATCCCCTCCTGACTTGGTCACAGCAGTTCTTCCTGCGTCAGAACCTCAAGAACAAGGTTCGTGGTCCTGCTCCTACACGCACGCCTCCCATTTGTTTTCCAACATAAACAATCGAGAAGCTGAAAGGCAGAAATCTTCGCCCCTTCTTCTCCATGGCTGACAATGAGCCCGTGCAGGTTTTCAGGACATCACCTCCCTGATTCTGAGCCGTGCAGAATGACAGACACGCATGAGAGACTGGAGTGCTCTGTCACTAAGAGGATCAACGGCCGCTGGCCCGGCCTAGGTCAAAAATAAAAAGTAAACCAGTGAGTAAAGATGGGGACTGTGGTGGGCGGTGGTGGACACATTGTGTCCCACCCTCCTTCTTTGGTTTCTAAGTTAGCTTCTGTGTTTTCTCACTGATTCTGGAAACAATCTTTAAATAATTTCTCCTAATATAATTATTAGCCAACAACAGCTCCCTGGCTGACAGGGTCTTACCTGCAGCAGAAGAAGCCGAGGCCTTTTAGAAGGCTAGCACTCACCTTGACTGGAAACACACTCAATGGATAGTGAAAAGGTTCACACATCCCATGTTGAGAAGCACATTTGATAAATCACTTGTCACACTTGCCAGCACAGCTTGTGCCACGCAGGGAGGGAGACTGGCCGGGTACTAATGGCTGCAGCTCTGATGCCGCTGTGGTTCACTGAGTTCAGGCCTACGATCAAGTTGGAGGGTTAGAACCAAGACCAGGGACACCTGGCTAGCCCGGTAGCAGATGTTCAGAAGTGGTAGAGTAGGTTACGTCTTCAAAAGTTGAGAAGCAAAGGAGCTTTGGTTCCTTTTGAGCAGCCTTGGATGCTAAAGGTCTAGCTTGGACTATGAAATTTGCACCTAGGACTTCCTGAATAAACAATGGAGCACTGAGAGCTCGAGCTTCGTACTGCTCTTGCGCCAACATAAGAGCAATGCAATATAAGAGCAAGCTTCCTTCTGATCAGAACATGGGAAGCAAGCAAGCCTGAGATTTACAAACAATGCTGAGATAGGTACAGTCATATTCCCTAGTATCCCCCAATAAACATAATCATAAAAGATGGTGGGTTTGGGAAACGTCTGTGGGTCTGTTTTCTAGCACTAGGATTCCCTTTCCCTCTTTGCAATAGCCAGGGATTCATTCTATTTCTGGTTTCTCCCATCTATACTGTGCATTTCTTTCTTTCCTCCCTCACTCCCTCACTCCCCCCCTCTTTCCTCCCTTCCCTCCCTCCCTCCCTCCTTCTCTCCCCCCCTTTCTTTCCTCCTTTGTTTCTGTCTGCCTTTCTTCTCTCTTTTTTTATAAGACAGGGCCTCACTATACACCTCTGCCTGGCCTGGATCCTCTTGAATAGAACAGGTGGGCCTTGAACTCATGGCGTTCTGTGATCAGAGGTGTGTGCCGCACTCTAGATTTCTTGTTGCTCCTCTATCCTATTCCAAATAGTTGCAGAGTAAGAACTCATTCTATCTACCCCCCCAAGGACAAGTCCACCTTCACTCCTAAGGATTCCTTTCTTAAGAATTCAAGAAAATGGACTGGACAGATGTCTCAGCAATTAAGAGGCCAACATCACCTAGGCAGTCTCTCATTCAAGTGTTCTTCCCTTGGGGGACTCTAAGTTGTGGCAAGTTGACATTTGAAACTAACCATCATACCACTTATGGGTGGAAAAAAAGTTGACAAAGCTAACTTCTGGCCACTGGTATCCCTGTGGTGTGTCTAGAATCAGCCATGGGAACATAATGACCCAGAAATACATCAGAGTAGCAGTATAGAAGATGGCCTCTTGGCATCTCATGTTCATGGGGACTCAGTCCTACCTCTGCTAACGACTTTGTAAGACTAATGAAGCTTCCCTGAGAGAGTAACAAGAAAGGGTCCTGGCTGTTTCATTTGCTGGGCCTTTGTTGTCATGTTTTTTGGAAATAGTCTTGTGCAGCCCAGCATTACCTGGAACTCACTGTGTAGCTCAGGCTGGCCTCAAATCTGTGATCCTCCTGTCTCAGCCTCCCAAGTAAAGGACTGTAAGCATTTGTCAGTCTATTTGGTTTAAGGATCATGTTTCAAAGTAGACGTAGTCTCATAGCCAAGGATGGCCTTGAACTCCTGATCCTCCTGTTTCTACCTCCCAAATGCTGGGATTACAGTTGAGTATGATTGTGTCCAGTCTCTTGCTGCTGAGCAAGCGTCTCCAGCCTGGACTTGAGTTTTATTTTTCCCAATAAAGATGCAATCTGTTTACAAACAAACAATAAAAACAGGAAAGCTAGACGACAAAGGCTTTCAATACTGTCTAGAACTTTGAGATGGCTTCTCAAATGATTGCAACCATTAGACATTAGAAAACACAAATGTGAATAAATGAGAAGTTTCTCCAGCTGGAGTTCAGCTCACTTGGTAGAGTACTTATCTAGTCCTGAGTTCAAATCCTCAAATCCTGTAAACCAGGCATGCTGGCACAGACCTGTAACTCCAGCACCCCGGAGGCGGAGGTATGAACATCAAAGATTTAGGATCATCTTTGGCTTCTTAAGGAGTTTAAGGTCAGACTGGATAGAAACGTGGTCTTCAGTGAAAAACAAGTTTCTCAAACATGAAAGATAAATCAGGAAGTCTAGCAACAAGTGATGCCCTCTGGCCAAGTCTTCTCGAAGAGACCTAGATAAAGACACAAAGTCCTGGAATGAAGAAAACAGAGTGGGAGCTGTAGACACGCACAGTGGTCAAATAGTTCCTGAGCAGCATGACGACCTGCATCCCAGCACATAAAAGCAGGGCGTGGAAAAACGTGCCTGTAACCCACCTCTGGTGCAGGGTGTGCAGGAAACAGGTAGAATCCTGGAACTCACTGGCCTAGCTGAAATGGCAAGCCCCAGCTTCAGGGAGGAAATAAGGTAAACAGTGATAGACGACATCTATCTGATCTTAACCTCGGGCCTCTCTTCATATGCATAAGCATTCAGATCCACACACACACCTACAACATACATGCATACAACGTCCCCACACCCCAATGTGCATTTCTGCCCTTGTCCACATCTCTCAGATAATTTCAGCAGATGTACAATGTAGTTCATAAGTGGAGCCGGCAGCATAGGCCTACGGTCCCAGGGGAGGATGGACCAAGAGGCTGCACCTGTAGGGAGGGCGTGAAGCTCATCCCCAGGGGCTGTGTTCACTCCACAGAGCTCAGCCTCTCCTCCTGGTTCCTGTGCCTGTCTCCCAACATGGCGGCAGTGCCTCCCGTCTGCAAAAGAGAATGTGGTCTTTACAGTATTCTTCCAGAACTACCCACCACTGAAAAAGAACCAGGAACCAGGAAGTGAGGCGCTGAAGAATCCTCCATTGTGGGCTTCCTTCTCGTGTTACTATGTTTTTCCTTCAGCTTTTTCAGTGTGTCAGAGACGGGAGTGTTTTTTTGTTTGTTTTGCATTACAGTACAAGAGTCTCTCTGGGATCTGAAACACCTCACATTTACTATGGTGCTTAAGGGTTCCCACTCCCCAATGTACTCTCAGTATACAGATGGGGAAATGCAGGCCCAGGAGGACAGGGCACCTTCTCAGAGGTCACAGAGCTGAAATGAAGCTCAACCCCAGAGGTGTCAACTCCAAGCTCAGTATTCTCTACTCAGAGACTGTCTCTTCTATCTTCTCAGCCATGGTCATGGTCACACAGACCTTGTCACTACTAATGAAAGACCTCGGCATCAAAGCGCTGGGCACTGAACCGAACCCTCTGCCCAAGAACTGGGGCCAGACCACTGGCTGCAAATGCACGAGGTGATTTATTGAGTACACAGGCGCCTGCAGATGCTACTGCAACTCGGGTGCAGAGCATACCAGGCTTGCAGGGAGCACAGTATTTATAGAGTTTTAATGGTTACATAAGTAACAGGCATTTCATTGGCTCATCTTAGGGGCAGGGGTAGTTCCCACGGACTAAGTTTCCTGGTATTACTTTATGAAAGACCCCGGCACACTTCAGCAATTATTATCCGGGTCCCATGACTACTATGGTGATCATAGACACAAGTGGGGGCAGGGGTAGTTGCCAAGGACTAGGTGTCCTGGTATTGCCACATAAAAGACCCTGGCACCCTTCAGCAATTATTATCTGGGTCCCATGACTGCTCTGGTGACCACAGATCCTGTTTGGCATCCTGCCAGCTGGGCGAGGCACCTGGTCTGGGTTTTTTCATTAGGCAACGGCCTGGCCTTGCTTTTCTTTTCCTAGGGGGTCCTGGGTAGGGGTCTTTCACAAACAACATATCTATAGTCTTCAGGCTTTGGGGGTGGTGGTGAGGAGGTCAAGACAGGGTTTCTCTGTGTAGCTGGCTGTCCAGAACTAGATATGTAGACTAGGATGGCCTTGGAACTCACAGAGCTCTGCCTGCCTCTGGCTCCCGGGAGCTGGGAATAAAGGTGTGTGCCCCATTGCCCGGCTTACAGTCTGGACTTTTAAGCATCTCTGTAATCAGCCTCCCTATCCAACCTTGACCCCAGTGATTCCTTTCTTTCCTTAGCTATCTTGGGGTAAAGTTTGACTGAGAATTCTGTGACCTCATGTTGTGGTTTGAATCTGAGATGTCCCCACCATGTGCTGGGATTCCAGGCAGGCATCACATTAGTTTTCTGAAGTACCAGGAAGGGAGCCTAGGGCTTTGTGAATAAGAGACTACTCTGCTAACTGAGTTACATTCTCAGCCCCACCTCCTAAGTCTTTTTGAATGCTTTTTGTTACCCACATAAATAAAAACAATGATACTGCATAAAACAGTGCTATCAGTCAGATGTGATAGCCCAAGCTTGTAATCCCAGCACTCAGGAGATGGAGGCAAAAGGATCTGAGTTTGAAGCTAGCCTGGACTACATAGTGAGTTCTTATCTCAAAAAGCTTAAACACAAAACCCAACGATATCAAGCACCACCTTAAATTTCCCAATGAGGTGAGACACCCTCTTGGTTTGACAGTATACTTCAGACCTTGGTGTTCTGTGACCACAGCTAACCTCTGCCCCAAATCTCATCACCTCAGTGGATAGCCAAGCCCTTGCCCTTCTCCCTGAGCTAACCTAAGCATTTTCTTCTCAGAGTATGACTTCCTGTATTAACCCCCAGGACCCTTCCGTGCTTACGTTGACTGTCATCCTGTCCAAGACGGCTTTCTGTTGGCCCCTTTTCTGTTCCGAGTGCCCCGTGTCAGAAACAGGTGGTTGCACATGTGTCTTTTCACAAAGTTGGGATAATAGCAACAAATTCACAAGTGACATCCATTTTCTC